TGTTGATTCGTTGAAGCAAGTGATAGAAGATGCCTTCAACAACTTGGACCAGGAGATTATCAACAAAGCCATTGACGATTGGATGAGGCGATTAGATGAAGTGATCGAAGCAGAGGGCGGACATTTTGAATAAATATTATGTTGTTTTTTGAAAATAAATTTGTTTGAAATTTCAAAAAGAAATATCGCGTAATTTTGGGTCACCCTGTAACTTAAGATTTTATCACGGACCGCGAAAGGTTATTCCTCAGACCTGTTTGCTCTGTTCTCTCAAATACAACTCACCCCACGAGAGAATGAGCAACCATTTTAAGTGATTTTTTTGTCAACAGCTAATGGTTGACGAAGGAATTTTTTTAGTATTTCTTTATTTCTTCACTATTTTCGGTGTTGCATTAGCATAAGTTAGCCATCCCTTGTAACAACCATGCTTGCAAAAATAAAACTTCAGTTCAGTTCAGTTCAATGAAAAGGACTCGAACGGATACGGTTGACGATCGGCCCGCTCTCTTTTTCGATTAATAACGGTCTCGTATGTAGTAAAAACGTATTTCGAATTCGATTCTGGGTATAAACAGTATTCAGATTGGTTCGAGCTTTTACTGGAAAATCAAAAAGAAAGGAGTTCTTAGGATTATGACACACGGTACTGCATATATAACACCCCTACGTTTCTGTTGTCTTCGGTGACTGACCTCATCAGTCAAGATATTTTGACTAACTCTTCAAGGGCTATCGAACAGTATCTTTTTGAAAAATATATAATTTTTTATTAAGGCAGAAACGACTTCTAAAATAGTGTTCTAGAGCTGTTTTCCGTACTCCAATGGTTCTTTTGCATGTGTTTAGTGACTGGTCCCACCAGTCGAGATGTGCTGACTAGCTCAGTCTGTAGAGAATTTCATCCAATGATATATTTTTTAAACATATATATAATTTTTATTAAGACACAAAAAATGACTAGAGTGTTCTACAGGTGTTTTCGGTACTCGAACTTATTCCTTTAGTCGTCGAAGCAAAAAGGAAAGTATGTAGTTGTTTCAATAAAAAAGTATTTGATTATACCCAGAATCAAATTCGAAATACGTTTTTACTACATACGAAACCGTTATTAATCGAAAAAGAGAGTGAGTCGATCGTTAACCTTATTCGTTCCGGTCATTTCGTGGCCAGCATCGTTACAAAAACAAGAATAAAGTCTTCTCACTCCTACCTTTTTCATGCCGTCTTTATGATCTTTATCCTTTTGTCCACGCCATGCATAAATTAGTACATTACTTTCGGCAATTGCTGCTGCAATATGATCTTGCGTAGAAAGTAAATCACAACTGCTAATTTGTACCTATGAAGAAACGTCTGCTCCGATTACCAAAGTTTCTTGCATGCTAAAACAGATCGGTAGTTAACCTACTTGTGCTCCTAACTGAATAAGCGTTTCTAGCATAACAGCAGTCTCGCATGTAACATGTAAACACGCAGCAATACGTGCGCCAGTCAACGGTTTTGTTACTTTAAATTTTTTCCTCAGCTGCATTAGTCCAGGCATCTCACTTTCAGCTTGTTTTATTTCTTTTCTTCCCCATCCAGCCAAAGTAATATCAGCCACCTTAAAGTCTTGTTTACCAGCTATCTCCGATGAACTAAGTCGACTTCGATTGACTTGAGTGAGTATTGGCTGATTCGACATTAATGTGAATTTTCTAAATTCAAATTAAAAAAAGACACATGCAACTGCAACTGTTATTATGACTACAAATTCAGAGAGAAATATGTCACATGTATTCATAAATAATAATACATATTCGAAAGTATGAATTCATAAAAAGTCATCAAGTGAGAAAGATTTGCAGAACAAAACAAACAAAAATAGGTGATTCTTTTTATTTTCGCTTGTTTCTTTTCGAAAAAATTACCTAGTAAAAGTTCTGTTTGGTTAGGGGGAAAAACCGACATTCGACGCTATTTTTCTGAAGCAACCTGAGTAAACAGAGAAATTTTAATTTAATCGAAGTACATCTCACAAAATCAACTGAATCATTTGTTTGCGTAATCAACTAAATCATCGGCTTGTGGGTGAGTAGACTAGTTGTTAATACTATACAATTATGATTCATAAAAAACTTTCGCAAAACATTATTCATCTCGTGAATAAGGTTCACGTCATGCATATGAGCCATTAAGGATAAGCCGCGATCTACAGTGCTCAATCAACTATATCAGATTTCTTCCAAAGTATGCGGCGCCTTTAGAGCAAACATTTTCATGAACTTTGGCGAAAACCGGAGATTCTGAAGTTGTTGCGTTGCACAAATACTCAGTTTTTGCGAAAAGCCCCAAAAGACGAATATTCCGCCATCGTAAAAAACTGTCAACTCAAATTACGTGTAACTTCGTAATGACATATGATTTAGATTAATCAGCTTTATCGTAAATACTAGATTATATCTACTACAAATTCACACAACCGCGAGCTCCGGACATACTTTCGTTCTTGTACAGTAGATGACGCTGTGAGAGCCAAATCATCGGCCTGTACGCTTTGAACGCTGATTCTCTCCCGGAAAATGGGGTGAATTTCTCGTCCGCTATGATATTGTAGGAGTGCACTAGGTGTACTATCATGAGCCATGGGTAGGATTTTTCAAAAAACGGAAAAGAAAATGAACCACAGCGAAAAAATTATTTGAATGAGCAGCTGGAAATAAAATTTTAAATGTAAAAGTATAATAATACTGCTATGAAAAACATTTTAATAAAATTCTTTTGAATTTATTCGAACACTCGAGCTTTCGATTAGAACTTAGATCATTTTCAAGAATAAATGACAAAAAGAAAGGAAGTAAAAGAAAGCAGTATATATAAAAATACATGCAGAACAAAACAAGAAGAAAAGAAAAATACATAATAACACATTTATATGTCATTATGAAGTTACACATAGTTTAAGTTGACCATTTTTCAAGATGGCGGAATATTAGTCTTTTGGGACTTTTTGTAAAAATTGAGTATCTCGGCAACGCAACAACTTTAGAATCTCCGGTTTTCGCCAAAGTTCATGAAAATGTTTGCTGTAAAGTAGCCCCATTCTTTGGAAGAAATCTGAGATGGTCGATTGGGCAGTTTAGGTCGCGGCTTACCTTTAATGGTTCGTACATTATTTATCGTTTTCGAATCAGTTTCCTTGCTTATGTAACTTCTAACTAGACGGTATGCGGCTTAAACCTCAGATTTCGAATATGCTCTGTGTCAGTGTTGGAACCGATCCGGAAAGATGGAATCGTTTAAATCGGACTATTTATTGTGAACTGGCCAGTTTTTTACAGGTTGAACTGTATACAAGAAATACAGTGTTTTTTAACAGAAAATAAAACAGCTTTTTCTTAATACATCACCATACCTGATCTCTTATTCTAAATGTCTTTTTTCTTTTCATTAACTCTTTTATATTTTCTTTTGTGAACGGCTTGTCAACCAACGACAGATATTTCAGTGTACGGTTTTGATTTTATGTTCAATTATTCACAAAAAGAATTCGTTTCTCTAGGTCAGTGGGCGGTGATTAGAACTAAAAACCTCCAAAAGCTCGCAATAAATTTCAAAAAATTGGACTTAAGGCAGCGGGTGTTCGTCGCAAGTCGGAGAAACGCATCCGCAAAGTTTAATATATTCTACTTAGAGTTGCGTGATTGCGGCTAAGCGATATCCCTCCCAATAAAAACACAAAAGTTACTTACAGCCTTCGAAACAAGTGGTTTTAATCCGCCCACTCGGCCCACTCCAAAGTTTAAAACCGGCCGGACCGGTTTCAACTCTGCTCTGTGTCTTAGAGCTACTACTTTGTCAAATGGAATATTAAATATTTTTGAACTTAACAGTAGTACATTTAATTAAGGTCATTGCCTGAGGTCAGCTATGTTTTTGAAAAAAATATGACTTGTCTCGAAGCCAGTTGGAATGTCCTGTCTTTTCTCATTAAGGTGCCCAAAAAACCTCTAACAACCTAGCAATACGTTACAAAGGCCGAACGTCTCTTAAAAATATAGAAGAAATAAAGATGACATCAGGAAGGTTTCAGAAGGGTGCAAGAAAGCTAATGGCTATGCAAACGGCTGTAAAAGCGTTCAAGCCGGAAAAGAAACACGGTTAGTATCCATTCGCATTAGTTCTTTTTTTTTCACAAGGCTATGTTAAAAAGAAAGAACTGCTAAAAATACCAGTTAATCGATATTATAGAGTGGAACGCTGAAGACTGAGCTTTTGGGAAAGTCGTGGTACCCAGAAGACCCAAAGCACACGAATATGACTGATTTGTATGTGCTGGAAAAGACGACGGATGCATCAAAATGTTAAAATACTGCTTATTTTCTTATCCAGGATGTTTTTTAGCTAGCTGAAAATCTGAACCGAAAAATGTTTGACAATATTTATATTTATTTTATATATCAGTCGAGCGGAAAGCGTATTCTATAATAAAATAATTAAAATTTTTATTGTTTTGATGCATCTATTCAGTTTAACATTGTGACTGACCAAAGTACAGAAATATGAGCAAAACCTTATATTTTCGGAGGATCTTATTAGTCTGGCGTTTTCTACAAATGTAAATAGCTGCGAAATTTGACACCTTTTACGCACAGTGTCGTATCACTTTCGCGAAAACTCAGTCTTCAAACCTATTTCATCCAGTGGCCGTTGTTTATTGTATTTTTGGTTTAGATGTAGATGTTCCTGCTTTAAAGAAGAAATTTTTGGTGTTATCTTATCATGATGAAGTTGAAGAGATTATCATAACATTTGCAGATCTTTTGTGTGAATATAATATTCCAGTGAAATTGCTCGTAGATTTGACACAAAGGCAGTGAGTGGGCAATTTAAATATGAATAGGTTTTGTGGATCTCTCTTTGCTCTAGAGAATGGAAAATACTAGACGATACAGCTGTTATTTGTTGCTTTCTAAGTGCTCGTTACCAAAATTCGCCAGCTTGTAAAAACCAGTTAGAATATGCTAGCATGGCGGGTGCTGCTGTTGTTCCATTCCAAATGAGCAAAAAGTGGAAACCAACTGGTTGGTTATCTTCTATTACGGATGGCCGTAAGACCATTGATTTTTCCGAAATAAAGAAAACAAATATTGTATCAAAAACAGTTGAATTAATCTATGAGCTGAGAACCATTGTTGGCAAAAAACTGGATTTTGGAGGTTTTGAAGGTATGTTTGATGAATATGGTTTAGAGGTGGCTAGTTACAGTTACATTACTATGAACTAATTAGTTACTTATAAGTACCCCCCGCCCTCAGACGCCCATAAAATATAGAAGACCGCCTGGTCTGGCAAATTTTGTCGCGTGGTAGTCCGGTAACAACCCACATACTTGAAGTTCATCCTCTGTTTGAAGAACATTTTTGCGAAATTATTTTGAAAATTACCCGATGTTTTGGCGACATAATAAAAGGGGTTAGAAGACCATGGTCTTCTATTTGGCTTTCAACTCATATAATCAGCAGTGGTCTTCTATTATGGAGGGGGCGGGGGGTGTAGTAGCTTATTTAGTTACTAGTTATAGATAACATTTTCAGTTACTTTCTTTGGGAGCAAGTTCCAGCTCCTGTGAATACACAAATCTGTTCGTAAAACTTCAACGGATCGAAGACAGAGCCCATAACGAAGTTTATAACCACTGGTAATGCCAGTGTCCCAAAGAAAGAAACTAAAAAAAGGTTAATTACTTTATAGTTACTTGTAACTAGTAACTGACCACCCCTAACATGGTTATGCAGATTTTGGCATCTTTCTATTTTTTCGGCCATCCTGACGTGGGACCACCGCCGAACTCATCTAACTTTCATGACCAATTTAAAGGTGATTTTAATTGTCCAATACCTTTGGAAGAACTTCAGGAGAGCACATATGGTGGAAAATTTATAATTTTAAGAAAGGATTTTGGTGATAGTCATAATAAGGTCTTGAGAATGGTGCACGAATGGCTTGGATATTTACCAGTAGGATACAATATTGAAAAAATTGAAGTTGTATTTAATTCTAATCGTTATCGAATGTTCGAGGGACAGCTAATGTCCGCAGAACATCGTCAAGAACAAGCTGCATTTCAACCAAATTTATCGATTGAAGACAGCCAAGAAGAAAGACAAAATGTGTTAGACAAATTGTATGACCTAGCCAAGAAAGTACAACACAATAGAAGAGTACGAATTGTTCGTATGTGGCATGGATGTAAACGCAGTATATTGCCTAATCTATTATCGGATGGTTTTGCAACATTGAGTATTCTTGATTCTGGATGGTTTGGTAGCGCAATGTATTTAACATCATCGGCTAAGTATGCCACGAACTACAGTGGAAATCACGAATGTTTGGTCTTATGTTACGTTCTGATCCTAAATCCGTTTCCTGTTGTTGCATCTGATGCACCATCTACCGCAGAACCACAGCAATTTCGTTTTTATGGTGCTGGCAATTATAAAAGTTATCAATGCCATTACATTCCTGTTTCTCCTAGTAGCCATGGCAAACCGTCGGATTATCGTCCGCCTGCTGAGGGAACTTTATACGCTAAATATGATGAACTGGCTGTTTTTCAACAATCTGATATTTTACCTCAAATTGTTGTGTATTTGAAATAATCTAAGACTAGATTAGTTCTTTGAGATCAAGTTTCTAACTATTTCTTTATGGATATGTCTGAGGTTTTATTTTACTTTTTAATAATCTTTATTCAAACTGAGCTAACAGAACCCCTTGCCATGAACAAAGTGCTTTACAACCAAGATTATTTTATCCTTGTTCTGCAGCAGGAAGAAATGCACAAACACAAAGAAATCCTCAATAAGAATAAGTATACATTTTTTTTCTATTAAAAAAATATAGATGAGTGCGCAACAAATATAATTTATGAAGAAACAATGTGAATGAAGACTTGATTCTAGCGTAGTTCGATAGAGAACATTAACTTGTATAAGAAGGAAAACTTTTCATCGTTCCCGAATGAAGTTTGACGCAGAAATGTAACGTTCATCTTCCCGAGGACGTTTTAGAGCTAAAAGTATTTTTCACTTCATCCTACGGCTTTCGTTCGAAGCAGCATTCTGAAGGGAAATTCTGGGTACAAAAGTTGCTCAAAATCGAAGTCTGCACTCCCTAAAGAGAGGCTTTTAAAATTGTCCTTTTTCGGTTTTTAAATTGAAAAATACGAAATTTTAAAACTTTAAAAACCGTAAAATTTAATTTAAAAATCAAAAAAGGACAATTTTAAAAAACCTCTCGTTAGGGACTGCAGAATTCGATTCTGAAGAACTTTTGTACCCAGAATTTTGCTTCAAAATGCTTGCTTCGAACGAAATTAGCCGTAAGGTGAGGTGAAAAAATCTTCGCTGAGCCCAAAACTAGCGATATCTTCAAGTTTTGAATATTTTTTTCAAGCATATCCAGTTTGTAGAGGATACTTCGAAATACATGTCCTAAAGTTTTTTCGGCTTACTGACATTATCTGACTGAGAAAAAAATCAATTACTTAAAAAAATATCGTTAAATTTTTGAACACGGGGTTATTGTGAAAAAATTCAGCAGCCAAAAATGAATTCTGAAACTTCTGTGATCGTCTGTCTTGTAGCCTGTGAGATTCTCTATCAGATGAGCTATTACTTAAAGTTTTTCGTTGAGTCATTATTTTATAAACGGGACTATAAACTATTGTCCATGCCAAAAAAGAATGGTATATGGCTGTTTTTCGAGTAAATTTTGATAGGAAAAAGCTAAAGAGCTCCAATTTGCACCACTCGAAAGAGAAGATTTAGTGACATGTTTTCATAACCAAAACTTTTGCCAGAAGAGCTTTTTGAAACATGCTTTCTAGGGGATCTTTGAAAAACTAGCTCGTGTGTAAAAATTTTCCAATAGGATTGTATTGATTTGTTTTCACAGACTGATAGCCCAGTGTGTCCTTTTCAAACCGAGAGTCAGGTGAGACCTTGATTTTCCACCTAATATTAAAAAATTCGCTAATCACTCAGTAAACATCAGAACGAAACGGAACTATCACGGAATCAGAAATTAACTATATCCTGAAAAGCGAAACATTCATATTATGCTTCTCGATGTAAAAGAAAAGAAATACGCAAAAACATGTATTCGTTTCTATACTTTCACTTCAAATATATTTGAGTCAGACATGGGACTACACGTTATCATTGTCAGTTGTTTTGTAGATATATAATCTGTGTGTAGCTTCTATATTTCATTCACATGTCCAAGTCAGATATCTGTATATTTGAAGTGCGTTTTTGTGTATTTCTTTTCTTTTACATCGAGAAGCAAAATATGAATACTTCGCTTTTTACACCGCTTTTTACAACCATCCAGATCGATAGAGAATCGAATTCTGAGTAAACCAACACCAACCCGAACTTTCTATCACATTTATATGGATAC